GGAAACATACTTTGGTTTCAGTTATTAAAAAAGGGATCATTTTTTCCAAAAAGAAAAGGCAAATGAACAGAATTCCTTGAGCAGTAGAACAATGTGGTGTTAGTGATTATAGAGGTACTTGCTAGCAGTTATATCTTGTCAGAATACTACATAAGGCATTTTGCATATTTCTCAGATGTACCTTCGGATCAAAAGATTTATATTTTTATTAAGTAACCTAATGCCTTTAGTGGAAGTTTGGCAAAACAGGTTACAGCTTGAAATGGCCACAGCCTATTTGATTGCACTTAATCGATGAGTTAAACACCAAGGAAGCATAGTGAGGTTAAAGAGGTCAGATGACCTTGGCCTAGAGACAGTGTGTGGGGCCACGGGCACTTCCTTTCTTTGGGAAGGCAGTCGCTGCCCCACAGCAACCTCTGCTCTGGAGTCTTTTGTGGTAGAGCCAGTAGGTTAAGGCCTTGACTGTCATTTAAATCCTTAGTGAGATCAGTCTGGCTTAAAGCAGCCTAACTAAACAGTGTCAGTCCTGGAGCAAGAGAGGAGCTCTCTTCTATGGTGTCTCTGCTCATCAAAATGAGAATTTCACCCATTAGAACAGCTGGCTGGAGGGATCTCTAATCTGGGATCAGTGCTGTGAAGAGGCCACTCCTCAGTCTTATTTCCACTGACACTGAAAGGAAGTTCATAAAGTAATCACAAAGCTGCAGTGATGCTGTCATGAGGAAGGAGAGCACCAAATTTGTGCTGTGCAGATGGCAGATCTCTAGTTCCAATTGCCTGATATATAGAGCAAGTGGCTCATGATCTATATTCCTCCATGACAGGGGAATGGCTGAAAACTTAGACACTGGGACAATCCCAAACTGTGTGCCTAGCTGGGTACGCTGGGGAAAAGATGCATACGGATGTGCTAGTGTCAGTCCCTCACATTCCTGTGGGTGCTGGGTCCCCAAAAAGTCTCTCTGTGCAGGTACTACTGAAATTGCTGCTGGGTGCTGTTGCAATGGCAACAGGGAAGTGGAAATTGTGCCTATTTCCTAGAACAGCCTCATAGGTGGCTCTGTCCTTACAGAAGTGAGCTTATGCTGGTGGTGAGGAGCAGCAGTGTGCTACAGGAAGGGCTGGAGGGCAAAAGGAGCACAAGATACAGATCAGACAGGTACAAGCTGTTTGATACATCAGTGAGGCTGTGAATTCCACAACTAGAGCTTCCAGCAAGGACGAGCATACTCCTGATTAACTTTACTTGCTAATTATGTACTCTCCTCTCCTTTATGCCTGTAAAGTGAAACCAAGCATTTGACCTCCCAAAGGAGTCATCCATGCAGCCACAGCTCTCTTTGCAGAGAGTGAAAGCCGTTTGTCACTGACTTTCTCCTCTTGATATTTACATTAGGCTGGAGAATGGTGCTGTGCTTGGGGGTCAGTGCTTTAGCTGGGACAATGTGACCTCCAGTAAATGTGGGTTCAGACTTGTGTTGATTTAGGACAACTTAAGCCTCTGTTTGTATATTTTGGGGACCTTGTGTCATCTTCTGAGCATAAGAAACAGCTCATTTTCTAATCTTGTAGTGCTGCAGATGTTATAAAAACAAGTTGTTCTACCAAAGGGAAGTTGTGTGTGTTTTTAAAGTGGCTAATGATTTCAGAGAGCAATTCAAGGAACACCCGTCTGTATCTGCAGCCTTTGGAGTAGGTGTGACAATTTGATTTTTAGTCCAGGGAAATCAAATCCAGCACCCTGCTTGCTTGTCTTTCATGAGATGTTTTAAATGAGAACAATGTGACCATGTTTGGGTTTGCTGATGGTATGGATCTGAGACTGCCAGTCTAACTCTGTTCCACGGTGGCTTCCATTGGCAGAGCATGTCAGAGTCTGGTCTTCAAGTACTGGACTTGTCTGTTTATGAGCAGAAGTACTGTAACCTGTGGTAAACCCACAGACAAAAGGAAATTGCAACAGTTCTTCTCTTTCCTCTCTTGGCTCATCATCTTAATTGATTTCTTAGCAGAAAATCAACTAGTGGGTCAATTTGGGCTCTCAAAAAATGGTAAATTCTTATGGCTTTAAAAAAAAAAAGAATCAAAAGAAAACAGCAGTCAACCCAGATGTGGTACCCAGATGAGACTCTTTTTTGTAGTGCCCTGTTTAGCTGGGTTACCAGAGAACCCCCAGGGCAGTGACTTTCCTTTGGAAGGTAGCATTTATTTGTGGGGCACCTCCTGCTTCCAGTGAGAGCTACAGAGGCTGGAAGCAGGTCCTTAATAAGAGGATCTTAGTAAGATCTCGGCTGACAGTTTTCCCTCCCCACCCTGTAATTGAACCTAAGGTCTGATTCAGAGTGCAAAAGGCCTTTCTTGGGAGGTAGGGCAGCAAAAAAGGATGTGACAAAGTGTTCATTTGGGGAATAAAAAAAGAAAAAGACTGCATGTTTCTGTCCCATTCACTTCTGCAGAAATACAAAATGCAAATGAAACTAACTCTGTCCATCTCTCAGGTTTAACAAATCAAAACAAGCCATTTGCACAGCACAACGGTGGCTGCCTTGCTCCTGTCTGCAGCTTTAGCACTGCTCAGGCACCATGGTCTGAAGAGGACAGGGATGCTGTGGATGGAGTTGTAGGAGGGGGAAGATAAATTTAGGTCTCTCTTTGTAACAGAAAGAGCAAGGGAAACTAGTATTTTTGAAGCATGGCCTCTGATTTGGGGCCCACAAATATTGGTTGTGCTTTGGTAATTCTTCAGAGGAACTGTTGGTATTCAGCATATCTAAATGTTCATGTGGCTGAGCAGTGAGTCGCTTGGGTATCTGGGATTGTGACCACTTTTGAAGCTGGTTGCAGGCAGGACCAGAGAGGTCATCTAGCTAGAGTGCAACAGTCTTAATTCTAGCGGTTAATCATACTCAATACAGAGAAACAGGTCATTACTCTCCGAGTCCCTGAGAGTTTTGCCATGTGTTTCACTATATGTAGGATCCAGCCCTGTCTTTATCTCTGTATTTCTTGCATCTAACAGCTGTGTTTCAGGAATAGGAAGTAAAAGCTTTAAAAGATGAAATGAAGCACTTCAATTCCTCACCACAGCAGTTGGAGATCTGCAGCCTCAGGCCCTTAAACTATTCATTACTCTTACAGTTTGTTCTTATATGTCTAGAAATCCTCTGAGGTGTGTGCTTTCTTATCAGACAGTTAAGCCTCAACGACTGACTGTATCGTAGCATCAAGTCCTAAATATAGCACAAGATGCCCAAGTTAATAAGACAGTCCTAATGTGCCAGTTCACATCCAGAAATTTTGGGGATTATTCATAATATTGCCACTACGTCATCTTGAAGACAGTAGTTGACACTAACTGATACTGAAAAGAAACACCTGCTGGGGCAGGCAATGTAATTTTGGAAAAACTCATGGCTGGGGTGACTACCAGGGGAAATTAATTGTGGTCAGAAGAATAACAACAATGTTTTTTAACTGCATAGTAAGATGGGTGCGGTTGTGGTATGTTCCCCTTGAGACACTAACTATAATTATTTTAGCATCAGTCAGACACTCCCTGGAAGGTCATATCTTCAGTGGATACCATGTGAAGAGTGATTTATTGAACATAACATACATAGTGATTTATTGATGCAGGGCAGCATGTTTAATACCTGGAAGCCAATGTGGGTCGTGCTCTTAGAAGATGGAATTGAATTTTACAAGCGGAAAGCTGACAACAGCCCCAAAGGGATGGTCCCACTAAAAGGAAGCTCTATTAACAGCCCATGCCAAGATTTTGGCAAAAGAATGGTAAGTACTTTTTTTTATAACAATGATTGACGGTATACTTATACTCCTGGCAGCACTGAAGGGGCAAAAGGCTGGTGATTACAAATTCCTGACGCTCATCCTAGTGGCAACTCTCACTTGTCTTAGAAGGTCACAAGCAGGCTTGGATTTGTGTGGTATTTGAAAGGTGTGACTACTTAGGAAAAATTCAGGATACTTTAAGAGGAGTAACTCGGAAAGTGATTTTTTTTTTTTTAAATCTCTGAGTCTGTCAGAGAGCAGAGCTAAATTATATTGTTGTGAGGTCACTTAGCAGCTGAATGGTGCAACTCCTGTATTAAATATAAATCTAGCTGCCACAGAATAAAGGTGTGGAAATCTATTTCATGAGCAGTGGAAGCATTTCTTTATTGTCAGAGAGCAACAACTGGCTTGCTCAGACAGGAAGGGGATAAATACTGTGACACAAATGCCCAAGTAAAGCTGTAATTCCAAACCTTTTTATTAACATTTGGTAACTACCCGATCCCACACACTTCACATTCATGCAATCTGTGTTAATTGCACACTGCATTGTTACTTGTAGGGCTTTTGCAAGTGACTAAGAGTCACATCTACACTCAGAGAGAGAGCAAAAACCGAAACTGATTTAGAGAAAGTAGTTCAAATGTTGCCTATACATTTGGGATCCCTAAGGTCAAGGACAGCAAGTGCACAGACTGAGGTCCCAATTCCCAGTGAAACACACAGATCACCCTGTGTTTCAATATTCACAAATTCAGTCTTATTTGACAGAAAATAGATACAGGAAGATAAATGTACGAGCATACATATTTTGTTATAGAGTTCCTGAAAAATAGTTGTTGGTAAAACAGGATTGCTAGTATGAGCAAAGAATCATATCTTTAGTCAGTCATTTGTTATTTCAGCAACTCAGTTTCATCAAATAGGCATTATACCCCCAGGAATCCCTCTGACAAAGTGGTCCCCCAGAATCTGGAAGATTATCCAATTACAGTTTAAAGGAATTTACTGCAAGGATGCCTGACTAAAGATAGAAGTCTCTGAGAGCATTAGAAAAATAGAAAGAAAGTGTAAGAGAGTGCACGAGAGAGCAAGCTTCACTTTGTCATATGAGTAAAGTGAGGAGAATTATACCTGTCCTTAGGTTTTGTGGTAAGTGGAGTCCGGGTCCCTGGTGTCAGGTTTGGACCTGCTGGCTTTCCTTTTTCCTTCCTTTCTTCTTTTCTTTCTTCTACTTCTTTCTTTCTTTTATTTTTTTTTTCTTCTTTGTGCAGACCCCATATTTATATGAAAAAAAAAGTTGATTCTTATGGAGTCTTTTTAGACTTACTTCTGTTAAGAAAAAGGGGCTCTTAACGTAAAAACTCTCTTTGAGGCAGCACAATAAAAGGATGGGGCAGAGAATAAAGATTGCTGTTAATCCCGTGCTGCTTCTCCTGGGAACAAAAGGTTTTAGAGGGCCATTACCTTGGAAATCCCACCCAGAGCAGGATCATCAAGAGCTACCTGCTCTTCCTAGCTCTCTCTAGGTACTGGGAGTTGTCCACAGAAGGAGACTTTTATCATGCTTGGGAGGAGAATTGCATGATCATGCATTCCCACCCCATGCCGGTCATAGGTTTTTTTGATCCCTGAGCTGGTGAGGGTGATTGTCCAACTGATTCAGAAGGGTTTGAGACTGCCTGCTGGTCAAGCCCATTTACTCTTCCTTATTGCTAACAGCCCCTGCCTGAGCCACCCTTGGGCATGGCTAAGCAAACCGTACTGCTTAACCCCTGCAGCTTCGGATCTGACCTTCTGCTTCAGCCAGCTTGGCTGTGTGTCAGTGCATTGCCTGGGCGCGGGCTGGGAGCTCTTTGTTACAGCACTTGGCTTTACATCTTTTGCAAACCATGAATAATAAAGGTGAAGCATAATTACGTCTAGCGACTAGAGCACAGAGCAGGAACATTAAAAAGCCAAATAAAGGAACAGAAATTAAGTATATCTGCACACATTTAGTTCTAATTGTGCTGATTTGAAACCATGTTCCTACATTATCTAATTAACAAGCCTCAGCACAGCACTCCTTACCCTATACATGAGGTATAATGCATGGGGAGAAAGGTACTATGTTCAAGAGTATCATAGATCCTACATTATAATGGCAGAAATTAAGTTTTTCTCACAAAGCATTCCTTTCCAAACAGTTTTGTATTTGGGTGTTTTTTTTGGTTTGGTTTTTTTAACTCCCACAGAGGCACTGACATCAGTATTGGTCTGTAGTAGTTGCTTGGAAATGTCAGTAACAGTAACACATTTAACAATAATGAAAAGGTAATTCACCAGCGTATGTGCATTCTACAAAATAGGCAGAGAGGTCTGAAGTACCTGATGTCTGCTGAAGGCAGAGTGAGAGAGATCCTCACCTGCCCAAAGGGTTGCTTGAGGATGTACCAGTTTGCAGAAGATACGTTGCATCTGTAGTGAAGGGTGATGAAGTCTTTGAGGATCATTCCTTTGACTGCAATGAGTTTTACATTATGCTTCATTTTACATTATGAGTTTTACACTATGTTTCATTTTAGTTGCTGGGGCCTTTTCTGAGGGAGAATAGAGGAAAAAGGAAGGATCTCAGACCTGGGGTTGAGGCACCCAAAACACTTTTTCATAAGTAAGATCTAATGCAGAGTTTGCTGAAGTCAGTGGAAGCGATCCAGATGACTTCAGCAGATGTTGGAGCAGATCCTCCTGTTGGTGAGATCATTCTGCAAGTCCATAGACCAATAGCCCTGGAGACGTATTTTTTCTTAAAATTTGCACTGTTCAAACAGTCAAAACTGCAACAAGCTCATTCATATGAGCAATGCCATCACTGGGATTGTTCTTACAAGTAGTTACTGCCCAATATGATTAAACCTAAATTTCTACATGTATTCCTTGAAAATGTAATATCTCGATTTTTGTATTTTACATTTTACAGCTTTACTATACTGCTGAATCCAATGCCTCTGCATTCCATCCTGCCTTCTCTTTGGTTATGTGCCAAAACATACAGTTCTTCCTCTTACGGGAATTATTCTGGTTCTTAGTGGTTTGCATACATTTACTTCATATGGCTAGAAATGAAAGTATATTTTTAGGGCAGGAATTCTGTAGGGTGAAAAGTGGGATAATTGTCATTAGGTCAGTTTTAAGTCCAGTCTCACTCACTTGGGCCCAGTTTTGGAGCAGGGACTATTGAGCCATGAGCAGACTTTTATATTCATCTGGTTAGATTTCAGCTTTTTGAATCGGCTTGTGTATCTGCATCAGGGCCGGGCTTGAAACCTCAGGGCACATCACCAACACGCTAATTACTAATTTACTGAATCAATTGCAAAAAGCAAGTGCTGAGGGGAAAGGAAGCAATCTTGGATTTTTTTTAAACAGAGATATAGCCTCTTCAGAAGAGGCTGCAACTGCATATTTTGAGGTTTTATTTCAAAATGCATTCACCACTGTTCGCTGTTCTTGATCTGAAGTTTGATCATTGCCTAATGGGATGTTAATTCTGCTATACTTGTGCTTTCTCTATTTTCCCCATGGCTTTCCTGTGGATAGCATTATCGTGTATGGTTGCTCATAGTTTAAGTTAGGACAAATGAATCTGACTATCTAAAATGTTGGTGTTTAGTTCAGTCTAATGGTCTAATTTTCTCAAAAGCACAAACAGATCTGCATCATCAGAGGGAGACTTGGTCACTTCCAGGACTGGAGACTCAAGCTGTTCACCAATTTCAGAGGAAGCCTGGATGTCTAGCTTAGTGGCCTAGCTTTCTAAAACCTAAAGTTAAGAGAAAGAGCTTTCCCAGTCTCCTCTGTGTACTGATAATGAAAACTCTTCTTTAGCATTTCACTGTACGTTGCTTCTCAGCTCTTTGGCTTCAAGAATGCTGATTTTTCCTTTGGTAAAAGCTTGCTTTAATGCTTTGATATTTCATTCTGTTAATCTGGTGTATTAGCATGACTCTTGGATATTGGGATTTGGAGAGATCTGTCTGTTTGCTTTTCACATGCACTGTACATTGATTTTTCAGGATGTAGCTCTTTACTGCATAATAGAAAAGGTGGGTGTGGCTGGAAATAGGAACAGTGTCAGATAAGTAGTTACTTTTCTGTCTGAAACGGATTTTTGAGGACCCACTGCTCTGTAAATTTGAAATCTGTCTTCCATGAAAGTCAGCGGGACTTCTGCGCAATTTCAGGGTGTCAGAATTTTTCCCATTGGCAACAGTCTGGAAGATGCATATTAGGGATGTGCAGAAATGTGCCGTTTACAAACATGGGCTTCAGTAGATTCATTCAGTGTTTTGATTTCATTGCTGTAGATTCACCACGCTCTGCTCTTTGACGATAATCTCTGCTTTACTTGCCCTCATAAAGCCATGCTGTTTGCTTGCTGATTAGCCTGTCATTTTTAGATGCCTGCTGAGTCAGAACCTGTTGTATTTATTCTAATACAACTACAGAACAAATTACAGTTCCACTTATGGGGAACTATATTTTAGAGGAAGTGGAAACCCTCTTGGCCTGAGTAATTAGATCCAGATTTTCCATCCAAAAGATCACTGGATGAAACTGAGATCAAACAGTGTGAACATTGTAGGGTTTTTTTTTCAGGTGTTGTTTTTTTCTGCTTAGAACTACCTTTAAAGGATCTTTTCTCATTTTTGGGAAATACAGTCTTTCCATTGTTGCTAGTGTGTTTAGATAGGTAGGGATCATAAGGTGTAGCCAAGGGTTGGATGTCTAGTAGTAGGGATCATCTCTCTACCAAGCCCTTAAAGGTTTGCTAGGCTGCACGTGTTCAGCTACTCTCCAACGTGGCTGTGACATTTTCTCCCCTTGTGAATCAGTAGCTGAGCAATGTGATGTGGGTTTTTTTCCTTCTTCAGACTGACCACATCTCTCTAAACATTAAGACAAATTCACACCCACTGTAAGCCTGCAGAGGCTGGGCACTTCAGCCTTTCAGCTGTGTTGAACTTCCCAGCAAAAAAAGTCAACGGCTATATCAGTGCTACTCACCTTGGCTGTACTGACAACATCAGGATCGCTCACGGGGAAATAACAAAAGGACTCAGTTACCTGCACTGCCAGTTCATGTTTTTCTTCAGAGTTTTTTTTAATTTGACTGTGGCTCTAAGGCACTTTCCATAGTCCCTTAGGCACAGGTAGGCTGTATGTTGTGGTGGTACTAGGTTAATCGTGCCCAACTGGCTACACCAAAGTAACTTTTAAAAAAAACATCATTTATCATTCCAGTTTGTCTTCAAGCTCACTGCGGCCAAGCAGCAGGACCACTTTTTTCAAGCTGCCTACCTGGAGGAGAGAGATGCCTGGGTACGGGATATCAAGAAAGCAATTCATTGCATAGATGGAGGCCAAAGGTTTGCCAGAAAATCCACAAGAAAGTCTATCAGACTGCCTGAAACAATCAACCTGAGGTTTGTTCCCTATTTACTTCTATCCGCAGGCAGTGTGCCAGATATGTAACCTCGGTCTGGAAGAGCTATGAGCTTGTCTGTCCATGCTACCTCTCTGGTTTCACTCAGTCCGTTCTGCATGACTAACAGTTTCAGAGCGTACAATGTGGCAGAAATGAGCTAGTGATCAGAACTGGGAAGATCATTTTTAATACATCATCTTTTACCAAAGCGTACTTATTTATCAAAGGATTTTGCTGATAAGAAGCACACTGCAGTACAAAAGGAGACCCCAGCCAAAGTGTGATTCTTCCAGGAGAGGCATTTTTATACAATATATAATTTATTGCAAAAATATTTTAAACCTTTTGTTTGCTTTCTGGAGAAACGCTGATGTTAGCGTAATTTTTGGATGGTGAGAGGAGAGTGGTGTGCCTGCCAGAGAACTTGGAACTGGCAAAGGGAGAAGAAGAGAGAAAGGGCACACACAGAGGAAGCCATCTGTTTGTCAGTACTTTAAAAAATTAAGGACAACTTATTTTTTGCCTCTGAGAATTAAATACCAAGATACAAATGAGCCTGCAGTGCTCCTTACGAGACAGTAAAACTGCACAGAGCCACGATCCAACTAAATCTGACTTCACAGGCTTCAGCAGAGGATCACCCTGACTAACAGGCCAAAGGACTTAGCCTGTAACATTTAATATTCATCCTTCTTGTCATTCCAGAGTTCCAAGGGATGAGAGTTCTGAGCAAGTGAAAAGCGGGTGGGAGGAAGGAAGTCACACCAGGGTTCACTGAGGTTACTTAGGTCCTCTGAGAGCATGCAGGACTTGGAGGTGTCACAGTGACAGGTTTTCTGCTCAGCCAAGGACCTTTGGGGGAACATAGCGCAAAGCAATGCGCTCCCCTATTGGCGCCAAGGCTGTGGGGCCCTGTGAAGGTGCCTCAGCAGTGGGTGTTCCTCTGTTCACACTACAGTCACCCCAAGTTGTTCCATTCTCAAAATATGGGGGTGTGGTGAGCCATTTGTGCGCTCCCCACTCTGCTCCTGCAGCTGTGACAGTGATGTCACAAAGGCCTCCAGGCTTTGCAACGTAAATTTTTCAGGAGATTAAACTGAGCCATGCTATAGCTCTGCAGAGAGCAATATGCCATCAAAACATCAAGACCTCGTGAATGACAATGATATTATTGTACGAACTGGCTAAAGCTTTTTATTTGCTAACAGTTTCTGTGGTTCTTTTTATGCACAGTGCTCTGTACCTCTCAATGAAAGACCCTGAAAAGGGAATAAAGGAGTTGAAGCTGGAAAAAGATAAAAAAGTGTTCAATCACTGCTTTACAGGTAAGGAGCTGTTGTCCCTCTTTTCCATACAATAAAGGGAGCACAGGGATGAGAGGCTAAAGATAGATAAAACAGCTCTAAGCCCTGTAGAGCACAGAGAATTTTGAGAAGAAAACCTGGCGGATGTTTTCTTGACCAATACAGGAGGTGCTCAAGGGATGAAGCTTGAAAAAGCGTTCAGTTATGGCCATGGTAAGCAAGAGAGGAGGAAGAATTTAACCAGTGCCGGAAAGATTGCAGTAGATCTTTGTACAAAATTGCATGAAACACTTAACTCCAGAAGAATTATTCCTTTCTGAATTTTTCATCAACAAACTGTGTCACATTGTAATTCCTGTCCTGCTCCAAGTCAAATCCGTAGGTGCTAGAGTTGAAAGTCACCCTGTTTCGACAGCACTGTGTCAGTTAACATAGCAGCCTGGAAGACTGCCTTCTCCAGGCGTGGCTGTCCTTCATACTTCCCCAGTCCCTGTCCCTGAGGCTTCCCAGCTCAGCCCTTCATCCCCTCCCAGCTCTCTTCTCCCTCAGGTACAGTGTTCAAGACTTGTACTGGCCCCTGCCATCAGTTGGATCAGCTGTACCTCACTGGATGACCCAGGAATCTTTCTGGATTAGCTCTCTGTGTTGTCACTAAGAACATCTTTCAGGAGATTGATGAATTGATGGAGTAGGCTTGTTGCCTGTGTATTTTTAGGCTTCTTCGTGTCTGTCTTCGTTTGTGGCTGATATTGTTTGTTCCTTTGTAACCAGGCACCTCTGTGATTGACTGGCTGGTGTCTAGCAACTCCATCCGAAATCGCAAAGAAGGTCTCATGCTTGCCTCTTGCCTCTTGAGTGAAGGCTACCTACAGCCTGCAGGGGATACGTCCAAGACTGCTGCTGAGGGACTGTCAGACACCCCCTTCTTAGATCTTAGCGATGCCTACTATTACTTCGTAAGTATTGTATTCTGTTGTTTTTTCTTTTTTATTGTCCCAGACTTGCTGATGCTCTGCTTTTCTCAGGCTTCTTGTTGGGTTTCTTAAGTCCTGGAGGAAAGATTGTACAGAAATGGAGAGATCTATGTTAATTGTCTTTCTCTACGTGATACTCAGAATGAACTGGCTCACTTTAATATTTGTAAGCAGGACTTTTTTTTTCTGGCACTCTTCTAAGTGTGAACTGAGTTCTGAGGTCGAGCTGGGTTCTTTTTAACTTAGACTTTGTTCCTGGTAATTTCACCAGCGACCAGAATTTAGCCATCAGTTCACCTGATGATTCAGTGCAAGGGAAGAGAGTAATTCATTATCATGGGGCTTCTCAGAGTGGCACGAGGTGCAAACCCATTTTTGTGCAGAGCCATCAAATCTGACTCAGCGCATGTGCGCACGCACACACACACACACACACACACAGAGCTTGCCTGTGAGCAGAGAAGCAAAAGTTTTTAGTATCTGCCAATAACACTGTTGTGGTTTAACCCAGCAGGCAGCTAAACACCACACAGCCGTTTGCTCACTCCCCACCTCCCAGTGAGAGAATCGGAGAGAAAAAAAAAAAATTTGTGGGTTGAGATAAAGACAGTATAATAGGAAAAATCAGTATATAGGAAATATACTGATATATCAGTATAATAGGAAAAAACAGAAAAGGAAGGGAAAATAATAATTATAATAATAATGATAAAAGAATATACAAAGTAAGTGATGCACAATGCAATTGCTCACCACCCGCTGACTGATGCCCAGCCAGTCCCCGAGCAGCGGTCACTGCCCCCAGGTTAACTTCCCCCGGTTTATATACTGAGCATGATGTCACATGGTATGGAATAGCCCTTTGGCCAGTTTGGGTCAGCTGTCCTGGCTGTGCCCCCTCCCAGCTTCGTGCTGGCAGGGCATGAGAAGCTGAAAAGTCCTTGACTAGCATAAGCACGACTTAGCAACAACTAAAACATCGGTGTGTTATCAACATCATTCTTGTACTAAATCCAAAACACAGCACTGTACCAGCTACTAGGAAGAAAATTAACTCTATCCCAGCCAAAACCAGGATAAACACCTGTCCTGGGTAGCTTACCCAACCTTTTCAATTTATTGCTTCATATTCTGTACATTGATTTGAAGAACTTGCAATATCGCAATCACAGTCAAATACTATTTTAAATACATTTGGCTTATGAACTTATGTTCATAAGTAATGAAGTAATAAAAGTATGCCTTCTGTCAAGTAAAATGCTTAAATATTACAATTCTGTTTATAGTTACCACATAGAATCACTCGACTTCAGCAAAATGAATCTCCCATTGCTTCATTTGTTTTCCCAGAATGTGTCCCTGGTAAGGAGACTTTACCTGTGCAGCAGTGGAAGCAGAGACACTGCTAGTGAAGGCAGCCTTGTGGCCATCACAGTTCCTGGCTACCTGGGACACTTCTCCTAGCAGCCCATGTGCGCTCTGCTTGCTTTCAGCTTGTTTCTAGTTTGATTCAATACCAATGTGATGTAAGGATGCCACAGGAGGTCAATGTCTGACTTGCTATCATACAAGTAGGCAGCACAGATGTTTACTCTAAGCCATACGAATGGTTGCCTACATTTACATCATTTGAACAGTGTAAGGTTTCAGTAAGTAGCATCACAATTTATCTGGTGTGGAATGGATGTGATGCATGGATCCTGAGACAGCCTATGCTCAGTGCACACATCACATCATCACAGCTATAGAAAATCGTGAATTTAAAAAACTAGGGCCAGTTCTTGTTGTTGGAGAAGGCAGCCTAGATGGAGCATTTCTTCTTCCCAAATTCTAGATGGTTGTGATGGATGGAGGAAGAGGAAGGGTCTGTTGGGTGCAGAGATGGCCAGCCTGGAGTGTATTGGCTGTGCTGGCATCACTTTATATGAACTGCTGTCTGTGCATTCAAAACCCTGTGACAACATGGGATTGAGGCAGCCTGACCATCATGGAGGAAATGTGACACCAAAAATCATGGAGAATGGAGACACTGACATATAGACAGATGCTCCAGCTCTTTTCAGATGCCCTGAGACTCATTGGTGTAGTCCTACCTCACACTGAAACGCTTCCGTGGTGACTTGGAGAGCTCCTCAACTTCATTGGGAGATTTTTCCAGTAAAAGGGTTGATTTTTTGGGTGGCAAAAACCAGGGTGGAGGGAAGCCAAAGAGAAGCCAGATTTGTACATGTACATAAACATGCAGCAGCAGCAGCTGTGTAACTTTTGAATTTTCTCTTGTGGTCGTGCAGCCAGACAGTGGGTTTTTCTGCGAGGGAAATTCTAGTGATGATGATGTGGTCCTGAAAGAAGAATTCAGAGGCATAGTAGTCAAACAAGGATGTTTGCTGAAACAGGTCAGTATTGTATGTGTTCCATCCTGTCACTGGGATGATGTTGCATGGATACAAGATTACTCTTTTACACCTAAAAGCTTTAGAGAAGAGAGAAACTAGCCTATGCCATCTCCACACTTGACAGGTTTCACCTCTGTCCCTCTTGCCTTTGCACAAAGAAAGCTTGCTGTAGCATGACAGCAAGCTGTTGCCCAACATTGCAAGGTTTATTGCTCTTATTACAAAATAAGGCAGTTTATAGTTTTAATTAGGAAAGAGT